TTCAAGTCAGAACCCAAAGACGGACTTGGGGGAGGGGGTGTCCACTGGACACTTTGAGGTATCGCTCGTCCCAGTGTGGGAGCACTGAGTAACTATCCACTCATTCTTCTCTGTCACTGCCTGGCTCTTTAATCGGCATATTGGGGTGCATGGCTGAGCCTCACTTGCTGCGGCTGGTGGAGCCGGTATGGAAAAGGTGTTCTTTTTACTTACACGCACATCTGCTCTAAAGAGCAATGACAGGCCGTGTTAGTTCCCGCCAGCCTGCCTCAGCCTCGGAGGCAGTTCCAGCACCACCAGCCTCCAGGTGCCTTTCCACTGTCAGCTTGTTCCACTCTTGCCTGTTCTCTCTGTCCGTCTGTCTGTCTGCCTCTCTCATGTCCCCATTCCCTTTCATCCTTTCACGCTCTCCCTCCCCCTCCCCCGTCCCCCAATAAACCTCTTGCACTGATTCTGTTGTGCGTGGTGTGTTCTCTTAGGGGCACACCTCGGCAGGGCCTGCTGGAGGTACCCCCTCACTGCTTTTTACCCTTTCAGGCCGTTCCTGTGGGTCTCTCCAACCCTGAGTCATCATACCGCCGGACGTCTTGAAGACAGTGGTGCTTGGTTTCTTGCAGACTTCCAATGAGTGCTTTGGGAAACGCTCAATAATGGTGCATTTGACTCTAGGAAGATTCACAAGCTAATGGATTGACTGATGTCTGTCAGCACTGGCTTTCATGAATGACAGGGTGTTGGGTTCTTTTGTCCTTGACCCCAAGAGGCTGCTGTTCAGTGAAGAGAAATCATGCAGTGGACAACTACAGTGTGATCTCAGGAGCTCCGTGCAGGGGAGCTAGTATTGAACTAGGAATCTTTAGAGAATAAAAAATCATTTTTAAAAGAGCCATGGAGCCAGCAAGGGTGGTGGCTCAGTGCTCAGGAGGCAGAGGCCACCTTGGTCTATATGGCAAGTTCCAGATGGCTCAGAGCTACACAGTAAGACCCTGTCTCAGAAACAAAACAACAAACAAGCAAGCAAGCAAAACAACCCATGGCACTTCACATACTGTTTTCAGATTTCCCCAGGCCCTGATCTCTGATGTTTCTGCACCACCAGCAAAGAGTGAAGGGTTCTGGCAGGTCCGAGACCAGCAAGCATGGCGCTGGCCGGCCTTGCCCTTCCCCCTTCCCTCTCCCTTGTAAACCACAGAGTGCATCCCTAAAGCTAGCCACAAAGAGCCGGGCGGTGGTGGCGCACGCCTTTAATCCCAGCACTCGGGAGGCAGAGGCAGGTGGATCTCTGTGAGTTCGAGGCCAGCCTGGGCTACCAAGTGAGTCCCAGGAAAGGCGCAAAGCTACACAGAGAAACCCTGTCCCAAAAAACAAACAACAACAACAACAACAAAAAGCTAGCTACAGAGATCTACTCTTTTCTTTGCACACTTTCTTATGCCAGACTCACTCCTAATGCTCATCACCAAGGTCCAGCTGATCACTGAAGTCCAGCAATCAAAGGCCCTCTTTGGCTGCCCTGGTTAACATGCGCAATCCAAGCACACCACCACATCCTAGCCCATCCTAACACAGACCTTCCCTGTTTTCCTCTTGAAAAACTGACACCCCGCAAGATCATTCGCTGCTGTTTTCTGCCCCAGTCAGAAAGCAGTCACTTTACTTTTCTTCCCTGCTTGATACAGTATCTCTCTGTGAAAATAGGTGTTTGGGTGTGGTTGGTGCCTAGTCCAGGGTCCGGGAGGGAACACCCCTACCCCATACCCACTGTGTGCCGGTCCCTTCTAAGAGTGACAGGGCCACACTTCTACGGGAGAAATAAAGTGTAGAAACAGTCACACAGTTTGTGGTGGCAGAACCAAACCAGGAAGACCAGAACCCGAGACTCCTGCGTTTGTCTCTGTGATTTGCTGAGATCACATCATTTTATTCCAGGGTCAGCAGACAACAGCTGGGACCCTCCACCCAGCACTTTAATTGACTCTGTTGGTTTGCAGAGCTCAGTTTGGTACTGAGGATCAGACTAACAGAGGTTTTTTGTTTTGTTTTGTTTTTCTTTTTCTTAATCAGTCCAAACATACTCTTGGTCTCCAGCAGTTGCAAGTGGAATGTGAAAACAGACGGCAATGGGCATGTACTGTGAAACACCACAATAGGCAGGCGTGCCCTGAGTCTGAGTGCCTGCACCTTACATTATCTCTGGGGTTCATTGCCCTGAGCAGGACACTAGTCCCAGCCTATCTGTGGTAGCTAACTAGCCGCATCTGCATTTCCCATAGGGCTTCCTCGGTGGTGATCGGTAATGTTCGTGGGAGACCACACTCGGTATTCCTTCTGTTTGTGTCTTCCTAATTAAACTGCAAATGGTGATTGCTTCTTCCTCTTGACGTGGAAAGCTTAGATTTTATCGCCGAGTCCCTGGGCTCCTGTTTTATCCAAACGAGTTTTTTTTTTTTTAAACCCTGACCCTAAGTAGCCGGGCAGACTGGACGACAGAGATAACTTTTAGATAATTATCTCATTTCCTAATTGACAATAACTGTCACGGTGGGATGACCTAGCACGCTCTGATATGTATCACGAAAGTGACAAAGTTTATACATGGCAGTGGAACCAGCCAGCATGAGATGGCTCCTTCCCTTGCATGGCGGCCACCAGTTTCTCATTTCTTAGTCTTTAAAATGAGAAGACTCTACCTGGCCTGTATATGCTTAAAGAGAAATTACAGCAATTGATTTAACACTATGGGGCGGGGCATAACAATTATGAGATACAATTTGGCTGTCCAAGGTAGCATGCTAATAATATCACTGTTTATAAAATAATAATAATAGGGCTGGAGAGATGGCTCAGCCGTTAAAGGCTAGGCTCACAACCAAAATATAAAATAATAATAATAATAATGTCACTGTTTACTGCCCAGCCGTCTCCTAACACACTGTTAAGGATGAGACTGATAGAACGTAAGACTTAAAACTGGAAAGGACCCGGAGGACGCCCCAGCTCAAGCTTATTTTGTGGAGGAGTAAACAAAGTGTACGTAGCAATCCGAGTTTCAGATACCAATTTTAAAGGTGTTACCACTAAACCAAGAGTGACGGCTACAGTCCTGAGACCCCAGCGCTCTGGAGACTGAGGCAGAAGGATTTCAAGTTGGAAGCCGGGATCACAGAGTGAGACGCACCTCAACCAAACAAGGCTATTTCCACAATGAACCCTTGGAGGGAATTAGATTCCGTAAGGAATTCTATATCTTCCCAGGAAAGCTCTTTGTTCTTTTTGCTAAAACAAAGTCAGTGTCTGTGGAAACACCAAAATCTCTACCTGGCATGCACGGAAGCTAAGCTCTGGTCTTCTGGGAGCTTCCAGAAAAGCTAAGCTCTGGTCTTCTGGGAGCTTCCAGAAAGGCATTCTGTTTCCTAGCAAAAAGAATGCACATTATTCCCCATTTGCTGAGCCTAAAACTCTGAAATGGCATCAGACAGCAATAGCTATGATGTGACAATTTCATAAATTGACTATGAAATTGTCCCTCACAAGCTCATGTGTTGAAATGCTTGAATACCAGCTATGTGCTGTTTGGAAGGTTGTGAATTATTATATTTTTTTTGATTATGTATACAGTGTTCTGCCTGCATGTATGCCTGCAGGCCAGAAGAGGGCACCAGATCTCATTACAGATGGTTGTGAGCCACCATGTGGTTGCTGGGAATTGAACTTAGAACCTCTGGAAGAGCAGCCAGTGCTCTTAACCTCTGAGCCATCTCTTCAGGCCCCGTGAATTATTTCTAACTTCATTTTTTTCAGTATTTCATACATGAGTACTGTATTTACATCATTTTGACCTCCTTCTAACATTTTCCATGTCCCTTCTCCCCCACTGCCTATCATGACCCCTTCTTTATTACTGACACACACACACACACACACACACACACACACACACACACACACACACATCTATATAGACAAATATGTGTTCCTCATATGTACATGTGTTTAGGGCTGATCACTTGGGACTGGATAACCCATCAGGGGCTCGTCCCTGGAGAAGACTGATTCTCCCTCTCTCGGTAGCCATTGATTCTCCACAGCTCTTCATCCAGAGGTGGAGCTTGTGAAATTTCCCCCATCCATACTGGCACATCAACTGGTGTTATGTTGTGTAGGTCTTGTTTAAGCAACCATATTTAAAATTTTTTATTTCGCTCTCGTGTGTAAAAGTGGTTTACCTGTATATGTGTATGTGCACCACACACATGTATGGTACTCAAGAAACCAGAGAGGGCATCAGGCCTCCCGGAACTGGAATTTGGATGGTTACAAGTCACAATGTGGTAGTAGGAACTGAACTCAGATCCTCTGCAGGAGCAACAAGTGCTCTTAACCACCGGGCCATCACTCTAGTCCCTAGATAACCATAATTTTTAAGAGGAGGGACCTGGCTAGAGGGACTAGGTAAAACCTGGCATGCAGGCCCATCCTTCCTGTCTGTTGCCTGTCCACCGTGAAGCCAGCCGCCTCTGCCACACGCTCCTGTCACGGTGGTGGTCTATCTCACCAGGGACCCAGAAGTCAACAGGGACGAGAGCTGTGAGCCAAGTTATCATTGGTCACAGAGTCTGAGGAACACAGGCTGTGCGGGAAATGTCAACAGGATCACAGACAATGGCCTGACATCCTCTAGGTGGCCATCTCCTCTGCCCCCACGCTGTGAGATGCAGACCTTCTGCTTCCCAGCCCAGTCAGTGCATTGCCAGCGGAAGTCAAAGGCACCCAAGCTTGCTGGACATATTTCCTCCCACCTGGACACTGTGCCGCCCTCTCTCCCACCCTTCTTGCCCCCCCCCCCCCCCCCCCCCCCCCCGCCCCATCGGATGAGATTTTAGGTCCTCCTCCCAGGAACGCATGCGGGCAGCTTGCACTGCCCACCCCGCCCCCGCCCCCACTATCGCGCCCATCAATCAGCCTTGCTTCTTTCTCCAGCCGGATTATGTAACCTAATATCCGCATACTGAGCTCCGAGCACTGCAGGATACGGCTGACTGCCTTTGGAGACCCGGCCTCGGAAGAACATTAAGGTCAATGAAGCCATTAGAGTGGGTGGGTCCTAACCCCTGGTGTCTAGACACCTTCTAAGAAGAGAAGGTAGAGACACAGACACAGAACTCTACCAACCAAGGAGAGAGGACGGAAAAGAAACCCCTTACCCACACCCTCAAAGTAAGAGGAACTATGATGCGATAGCACCCCGTGTAAGGACCCGGTGTAAGGTAGTTTCTCGTGGCAGCATAAGCAGCCACTGTGTACCGCTTTCTTCATTCGGCTACCTTACGTGAATGCAATGGCTGTCCAGGGAGAGAGGGGGAGACCATGTCTGTCTGTACTGGGCTCAGCCACATCTGCCGTGTTACAGGCCAATGAAGCTTATAGACCTACAGCCCACTGCAAACAAGAACCACGAGTCCCAAGTTGCATAACCAGAAGGAAGTGAATTCTGCCAAAAACTGAAAACCCTGGAGGAGCTCCAAGCTCCATCTGAGAGCCAGCCTGGCTGATGGCCATGTTACAGCCTGTGGGACAGGTCCAGCGAAGCCATGCCACAACGCCACAGCTGTGGAAACAGAAGATAACGGAGGGGAGGTGTTTGAGACCACAAAGCGTGTGGTCACAGGCTACATAGCAAGAGGGCGAAGGCATACCTGCTGATGGATTTTCTATATCCTAGCACCGGAGAAGGAAGGGAGGCAGCTGACGTTCATATGACTCCAAGCCAGGAATGCTCATTGAAACCCAGCAGTCACACTGGACCAGAGAAAAGAGAGAGAAGTTAGAATATGTGGAACTCTCTGCCACCCTCCAACAATTTTTCTCCCCAGGTTTGATGAAGTGAAACCATGGCATAATTTGAGAAACGCCAGCAAGCTGGCCAAAAATTGGCTTCCCCCTCTGTCCTAGCTGTCAACGTGACACAATCTACAGTCAACTGGGCAGGGGGACCTCAGGTGAGGAACTGTCCAAATCAGATCGGCCTGTGGCTATGTCCATGAAGTCTGGATGGTTGACTGAAGCGAGAGGGCCCAGCCCTCTGTGGGTGGTACCTCCCTAGGCGGGTGAATAAAGGATGCTTTAGAAAAATAGCTGAGCCTGAGCCCGAGACCGGGTTAGAGCATGAGCTAGCAACCAATATTCCTCCGTAGTTTATTTGAGCTCCTGCCTGGCTTCCCAGGCAGGACTTCACTTATTGGCGGATTGTGACCTGGAAGTATAGGCCAAATAGACCCTTTCCTTCCCAAGTTGCTTTTGGTCAGTGTTTTATCACAGCAACAGAAAAGCAAGCCAGTACACCTTGCTCTCCTGAGATCTCAGACATCCATGTGCAGGAGGCATCTCTATGCAATAAGAAGTGTCTGGGCTCCTTCTTTTAAAACGCCTCTGTCTGAGCCCCACCCACGAGCCTGTGGTCAAGTCTGCATTCTTATCAAGGACCCGTGTATCCAGGAATGAGCCATAGAAAAACATCACCCCAAATGCATTCCATGAAGTAAGACGTCAGACACCGAAAGACAAACACTGCCCGTTCTCACCCACGAGTGGCAGCTAAAACCTCCAACCCGCCATTACAGAGAGAAGAATGGTGAGTACCAAGGGGTAGGAGCAGGCATCAGGGAGGGGCAGGGATGGAGAGAGGGTGGTTAACAGGCATGGGGGTACCGTTGCGTAGAAAGAACGTTCAACACTCAGGCGCACAGCAGACGCTATAGTTGTCATCCGTTACTGAATACTTCAAAACAGAAAACAGGATTTGTTTTTATGTTCCCATGCTGTGTTGCTGCTGTGAGGACCAGCCCTCAGCAGCTCAGGAATTGAGGGGGAGTCACGGAATTGGCAGACTAATCACTCAATTGACTTTTCTATCTAAGGGAGTAGAATTTAATTCTCTGGGGCTGGTGAAAAAGGGAAACACACACACACACACACACACACACACACACACACACACACACCTTTAGGGTCTTTCTATCTCTCTCATCTCTTTATTTCTTTTCTTACCTCTATCCAGATGGATCCTTTCTGTGTATTCTTAATTTTTCCTCACAGCTTATATACCCCAGCAAAATCTTTCAAGCAGTATAAAAATCACAATGTGATTACATTCTGTTTTTAAGTCAATGATTATAAGTAAAAAAAAAAAAAAAAAAAAAAAAAAAGCATGTTTTCCAGATCCCTTACATGATTAAACATTTTATGTATTACAGGTGAAAAACAAATTATCTCCAAGAACCCACATACATTCATGCCCAAGCAACTTGTTATAGATTAACAGAGTGTAAGCAAGCAAGATACTTTTCTCAGTCAGATCTTTTACTGGCTGGATGCATTTTGCAGTTACAAGGAATGGACCCATCACTTTATTATTTATCTTAAAACGCAATCTTATAAAAAAAATCTTAAAAGAATCACAAATCTAAACTTTTATGTATGAAAAACAACCAGTCAGCTCTATTTTAATACTCAGGGTGCATACCCACTCATCAACAGTTTTTTTGTATCAGGAAGCTGAGGGTAGAAAAGGGTACAAGGAATTATTCATCACCTTTGATCACCAACCCATCCTAGCAAGAATGTACACCAGCCAGCAACAGCCATTGTTCCTGTTCCCTGACCTCAATGAGTCCCTTATTCAACTACTGAAAATGTGCCTTTCTAAACTTTAAATTGTTCCTCAAGATTTTCTACCTCAAAGCCATTAACAAAATTATCGTAACCTAACCTTCCTAACAATTCTACATGTCTAAATTCTTTCAAACGTTGACTCATTCATCTGCTCCAGCAGCAATGCTTGGGAAAAATCAATTACCACTATTCTAAGTACTAGGAACATTGGCCACTGAGGAGCTAGACACCCCTGAGAGTTTTCATACAACCCATAGATTATGAGGGATGTGGTGACCACAAAGGCAATAATCAGAGCTATGCTCAATAACAGCATGAGGTCCTCAGGACTCATAGTCGTCAGGGCTTTGCCTCTCCAAGGCTCTCGCAGGCGACACTGTAGCCAGACTAGAGGATGATCCCACCCAAGCCTAACTTACTGAACCTGTGCGTTCATTGGGGTCACTTAAAAGATGATGAATAAGGAGTTCCTTACAAGAGTGTCAAAGGCACCCCCTCCACCAGAAAGCCCATCCCAGCTAGTGTGACTGCTCACCAAAGCTACATCCCAGGAGCTCCCAGAATGACCTGCAGAATTGACGTCTGCTTCCACCAGCTTTGGTTACTATTTACATAACCTTGGGTAGGGGGCCTTGTAATCTTGTAAGTTTCAGGAACTTCCCAAGCCTTGTAAATTTCATTTGCTTTTCTGAGTCTGGAGTCGCCCCCCTCCTGACTGCATGTTTGAATTAGGAGGCTATTGATACACAACATCCCAATATAAAGACAAGATGTCAAAGGTGGTGGGGATGCCATCACCTTCATACGATCATTCCTCTCTGTATATATCTACTAAATGTCATATTGTGCCCCATAATACGGACAGTTATGTACCAATTATTTTTCAAACACCGCTTTGAACCTATTCTAGATATAATTGGAATTATGCAATCAAGTTCTTACGTTTTTTTTTAATTTATATATTTTAATCTCTGCAGTAGAAAGAGACCTTCCCCCCTGAGGCCAGCCCAGGTCCCCAGCCCTGTCCTGCGGCCATCTCTGTCTCCATGCTCTCTGCGGCAGGCTGTTGCCAGCTCCCAGGTTGATGTGCAGCCTGTTTACCTTGTCCCAATGCAGGCACCATAGACAAGCAGCCTCACCCTGAGCTGCACCCAGCTAACGCCTGCCGGTACCAGGCTCCCAGGCACAGGTCCATCCCTTCGGCTCCATGTCTTGGTTAGGGTTTCTATTGCTCTGATGAAACACCATGACCAAAAACAACTTGGGGAAGAAAGGGTTGATTTCAGTTTATAGTTCATCATAAAGGAACGTCAGGACAGGACCTCAAGGCAGGATCCTGGAGGCAGGAACTAAAGCAGAGGCCACAGAGGAACACTGCTTACTAGCTTGATCTCACATGGCTTGCTTTTTAATATAACCCTGGACCAGGGATGACAGCCACCTAAAGTGGGTTTGACCCACTCACATCAATCACTATCCAAGAAAACCCTGCCACAAGCTTGTTACTGGCCAATCCCATGAAAGTATTTTCTCAATAGAAAGTTTCTTCTTTCCAGATGACCCCAGCCTGTGTTAACCAAAAAAAAAAAAAAAAAAAAAAAAACCAAACAAACAAAAAGAAAAACCCAGCACATTCCATAAGCAAAACCTCTGTGGCAGAGGCTGCAGATGTCCTGACTCTGGGGACCTAACAGGGGAGGTGACCTGGAGAAGCTCTGTAAGTCTCAGTTTACCTCTGACAGCTCTGCCCTCCCCCGGCAAGATAGGGGTATGGAAGACTGCCAAGAATGCCAACGTGTTGAGGATTCCTGGCTCCCCCAGGTGTCACTTGATTATCACACCTTGGCCTTCCCTGCCATGACTGTCTCCCAGGTGTCCGTCAGTGTTCCCCTCTGCTCCGTCCACCACTACACATACACACACTCCTCCCTCAGCACGCTTAAGCCCCTCGTGACGATTGTTTCAGACCTACCTGCCTAGTTCGTACTGATCCATCTCTGCAGCTCACTAATTTACATCTTGATGAGTCTTTGGCTATTATACTCATCTCTCGTGGCATAGCAAAATAAATGTTTGACATACTAAAAATGACATCTTTAGGGGTAAAATACAGAAACCATTGATTCGTGCATTGGATAGGAATTGATTTCTCAGATTATGAGACCACACCACAGAGAACAGGCTTTCTTCAGTGATTTAAGGGAGGGGGACACTTAGCATTTTATTTTTGAAAGAGTCCTTTCCAGTTGAAGTTGCCAGTCTAACCACAGATTATATACGACATGTATAATTCCTTTTTATCACTGTCAAGTCTATTAAAGAAAAAAAGTACTGGTCAGGGCTAGAGATATGGCTCAGTGGTTAAGAGCACTACTGGCTGTTCCGGCAGAGGACGGACGGGGTTCAGTCCCCAGCACCCACATGGCAGCTCACCACCATCTGTAACTCCAGGTCTAAGGGATGCCCTCTTCTGGCCTTGGCTGGCATTGCATGGATGTGGTGCGCGGACATACATTAAGAAACCTTCACATATAATTTAAAAAATAAAATAAAAAACTTTAAAATTCCTAATCATCTTATTGTTTGCATCTTTTAAGTTCCCATCTCCATTTCATGTACCTTCCTAAAAACGGCGCAAGGAAGAGGTTAACTGGCAACCGGAACTGAGTCCTCACTCAGCCGGGTCCCACGGCTACTGAAGGGCACGCCTACATCCCCGACTCTCTCCTAGCTCGCTGGGCTGCCGTTCTTGTTCATCTATTCTTGAGTTCCCAGAAACATCCCTGACATAGTCCCATTCAGCCTTACTTCGTTGCAACGCAGGAATAAACAACTATTTGTAGGCAAATTGGCATACTTCACTTCCGAGGTAAAATTATTTCCATTCATTTAAAAAACATAGCATTTGTGAATAAGTCATCCCTTTATGTGGCATTGTTTTGCTCTGACCTATTTCCTCCCCTCTGAGCCTCCTCAACCCGCCAGACCCAGGTTCTCTGGAATGCAGTGAGTCACAGGAATACAGACACTGAAACATCTATCCTCAGGTCTGGCCCTGGATTGCTCTAGAACCACGGAACTTATTCATCAGTGGGGTTTTTTAAACATCCTCTCCCCAAGGATCTAAAAACATTGCTGTCCGTGCAGTCATCACTAGTGGAGCTTATGTCTGCTTACTTTCTTCCTGGCAGACAGCAGCATGATGACATGGCCTTTATCTAATGCCTCGTGTAGTACCAGGCACACAATAGCACTCAACACGTGCAACAAATCTATTGGAGGATGAATTGAGCAACTCTGGCCCTGCCAATCCAAGCATAAGTGCGGAGAGCCAAGGAGCGGGGACCTGCTGCTGAGTCAACTAGGTACCCCCAGGTGGTGCCCTGGTTTCTGCTGGCTGCCCTTGTGAACGTCCAGGCAATGGCTTTGCCAACCTCACAACTGCCTTGTCTGCCTATCCCCCTTCACCTCAAACTAGGCTTCAAAGAAATGAGAGACCAGAGAGTAGGCAAGCATCCCCAAGGAGGTCACCACCAACACTAAATGGCTCACATCGGACTCTCAGTGTGCTCGGAGCTGAAAATCCTTACAGTGGTATGAATGTTCATGGATACTTACAGAGAAAAATCTATAATTCAAGTATTTAAGTCAATATTTAAATATGAATTTCTAGACAGTTAAAATCAATAGTTATGATATAAACTATTAGGTGTTCATTTTCACTGAGTATTCCCAAACACTGCCTTTCTGTTGTCATAGTTCATTGTCTTATAATACCAGGTTCTAGTTCATCACTGAGAAGTCAAAGCAGGAACTGAAGCAGAGAGTCTCATCACTTCTACAGTCAAGAGCAGAAAGAAAGAAATCCACGCATGCCTGCTCCTGTTTCTGCCTGCAAGCATCTGGCTTTCTCCTGTCCTGTAGAGTTCAGGACCCCCTGCCTAGAGCATGGTGCTGCCCACAGTGGGCTGAGTCTTCCTGCATCAATTAACAATCAAGACAATCCCCCAAAGTCAGGCCTACAGACTAACCTGATGTAGGCATTCCTGCAATTGGGACTCCCTTCTCAGGGGGTTCTACCTTGTGTCAAGTTGGAGGTTAAAACTAACCAACACAATGCACTTACCATGTTAATGGTTACATAGTGTTTCATTACACAGACATAATAATTTTTATTGATCTATATTCATTGTGTATAGTGATAGACTTAATGAACGTGTTTTCATTCAAATATATCATGTTCCTTAATAAATAAATACATCATGTTCCACCACTACATTCTCCTATCTTATTCTTAATTTTAGCAGAAAGATTTTGTATAACACTGGCTATAATTTTCTTGTATGTGGTTCTTTTTGTTGTTGTCTTTTGTTTTTGTCGAGACAGGGTTTCTTTGTGTAGCTTTGGAGCCTGTCCTGGAACTCGCTCTGTAGTCCAGTCTGGCCTCGAACTCACAGAGATCCGCCTGCCTCCCGAGTGCTGGGATTAAAGGCACGTGCCACCAACACCAGGCTATGTGGTTCTTATTATATTGAGGTATGCTCTTTCTATTCCTAGCTTCTTGGGAGTTTTTATGATGAAGTGATGTTGGGCTTTGCATGATGATATTTGTCTGCATCTATTGCTATGATTATGTGATAGTCTATTTGTGTGATGTGTTATAGCTACTGATTTGTGTGTATTGAACCATCCTTGCCTCCCAGAATTAAGCCAACTTGATCATAGTAAATGATCCTTTTGATGTGCTGTTGAGTTTGGTCTGCCAGCATTTTATTGGGAGTTTTTTTGTGTGTGTTCGTCAGAGATATTGGGCTGTCATTTTCTTTTATGTGTCTTTATCTGGGTCGTGTCGGGGCAATCCTGGCTTTGCAAATTGAGTCTGGTGTGTTCTTTTTATTTCTGTTTTATAGAACAGCTTGAGGTGCGCTGGTGTTAACTTCTCACTAAACGTCTGGCCGAGCTGTCTGCCTCAGCTCCATCTTCCTTGAAACTCTCACACCCTGAAAGTGAAGTGGAGGAAGAAGAGAGCACACAGGCTGAAGCACAAGAGAAGAGAGATGAGGCAGAGACCAGAGAAAACCAGCCTGTGCACCCACGAAGACGGAGAGCAGGAGAATGGGATGCTGAGGCTGGGATGCTGCTGCGGATGCTGGACTGAATGCTACTGCCGGGAATAAGTCTCAGTGTAACTGGAGCTTCACATCTCTCCAGGACCGCCTCCTGCCTTCCTCAAAACCAAAGCAGTCCCCGTTGGCCCTCTGCCATGCACCTGTGGCATTCTGGACTAGTTCTGTTCTCACCTGTGACCAAGTGTCACTTGTATACAATTAATTATCTTTCTCTCAGTCTCAGGTGGAGAACAGGGAAAAAAAATTGTCTGGCAGAATTCAGCTGTGTCCATCTGGGCCTGGGTGGTTTCTTAGTTGGGAGACTATTTATTATCATTTCCATATCATTCTTTAATAGATCGGCTTAAGTTATTAATACCTGCTTTATTGAATTTTGGTAGGTCCATGTGTTCAGAAATTTACCCATTTCTTTAAAATTTTTCTGATTTGTGGGAATCCAGGTTTTCAAAATATGATCTTCTGAATTCCGTTTGCATATGTTGTAATGTCTCTCTAATCAGTAATTTTAATTAACTTGGACCTTCTTTCTCTTTCTTTTGGTCATTTTGGACAAGGGCTTGTCAATTTATCTTTTCAAAGAACCGATCTTAAGCTTCACTGATTCTCTGTGTTGTTGTATCACTTAATCCTTCTCTGGTGCTTAGTATTTCTTTCAATGTTCTGGTTCCAGGTTTAGCACAGACTTATTTTTCTAGGACCCTGAGAAGCATCATTAAGTTCCTTATTTGAGTTTGGTATTTATTTATTTATTTGTGTTTTTTGAAACAGGGTTTCTCTGTGTAACCTTGGCTGTCCTGGGATTCACTCTGTAGACCAGACTGGCCTTGAACTCACAGAAATCCTCCTGCCTCTGCCTCTGAGTGCTGGGATTAAAGGCATGCACCACCACCACCTGGCAGGATTTGGTCTTTTTCTTTTTTTTAAAGATTTATTTATTTCTGTAAATGAATAATCTGTCTACATGTGTGCCTGCCAGCCAGAAGAGGGCATCAGATCCCATTACAAATGGTTATGAGCCACCATGTGGTTGCTAGGGATTGAACTCAGGACCTCTGGAAGAGTAGCCAGCGCTCTTAACCATCTTAACTCTTCAGCCTCTAATTTATTTTATTTTTTTAGTTAATTGATTTTTTGTTTTTGTTTTTTCAAGATAAGGTTTCTCTGTGTGGCCCTGGCTGTCCTGGAACTTGTTCTGTAGACCAGGTTGGCCTTGAACTCACAGAGATCCTCCTGCCTCTGCCTCCCGAGTGCTGAGATTAAAAGCATGCACCACAACCACACAACTTGGTCTAATATTTTAATGTAGACATTTCTAGCTGTAAACTTACTCTTAGAAGTACTTCTGTTGTACCCACAGATTCTGGTATTTTTTTATGTTATCATTCAGATCTAGGGATTTTTTTAATTCCCTCCTGATTTGTATTCCTAATAGTGTATGTCTTGATCTCCATGAGTGTCTATATTTTCAGTAGTTTCTCTGACTGTGCTTTCTGCTGCTGTCTTAGGACCAGACAGACAACAAGAATTATCTCAATTTTGCATTTGTTAAGAACAAGCACTAATCCCAGCACTCGGGAGGCAGAGGCAGGCAGATCTGTGTGAGTTTAAGGCCAGCCTGGTCTACAGAGTGAGTTCTAGGGCAGCCAGAGCTACACAGTGAAACCCTGTCTAAAAAAAAAAAAAAAAAGACTCTCTGTTAAGAGACTTTTAATTACTGATTCTGCCTAGTTGCTTGCTATGAGTCTGTGTAAGTTGTTCATTTTCTTGATTTAACTTTGACAAGTCACATGTGTTCAGTAATTTATGTATTTCCTCTAAATTAGCCACCTTTTATAATATAGGTTTCCAAAGTATCCCCTAATGATTCTCAGATTTCATTGGAACCTTTGGTAATATTTCCCTTTTCAGCTCCAATTTGTTTAATTTGGATAAGGGTTTGTCAATTTTGCCTGTCTTCCCTAAGAACGAACTCTTTGGTTCTGTGTATTGTGCATTCAGTCCCCATTTTTAAAGATCTATTTTGTTATTGTTTTAATTTGTGTGTGTGTGTGTCTGTGTGTGTCTGTGTGTGTGTGTGGGGGGGGGGGTTGTGGGGGTGTGTACACGTGCACTTGAGTGCAGGTGCCTATGGAGTCCAGAAGGGGCGTCAGATCCCCTGGAGCTGGAGTTACAGGCAGTTGTGAGCCACCCAACATGGGTGTTCTTAGGTACTGAGCCATCTCTCCAGCCCTGTCTGTTTAATTTTATGTGAGCCTTGGTGAGGAATTGCCCTTGCTTGAGTTCTGTCCCCCACTACTATTCAGGGGGGAAAGCCAATTGCGACACCATGTAAGGATTGACAGCAGTTCTGGTGCTAGCTTGCAGTAAAAAACACTTGTCCGCTTCTCTTGAATCCCCAGCAAGGTTCAGACAGCGGTACTCGGGTACTAATTGGGAAATGAAGTGTATTCTTTTTTGGAGATAAAGTTATCAATAATTAACAATTAAGTAGCAAAACAGAGAGGGCCTAGAGAAAGGGAGAAAAAGAGGGGGAAAGACCATGAGACAATGAGAAATCATCAAGAAATTATTATAGACCAGGTAAAGAGAAAGGCAAAGCAATCCAAGCCAAAAAAAAAAAAAAAAAAAAAAAAAAAAAAAAAAAAAAAAAAAAGGCTAAAACAAAACAACTAAAAATTGATGTAAAAAGCATAAAAAAATAAAAACTACAAAAGGAATAAGATGAAATTGAAGCTATCATAACCACTTCCTGTGTGGAATGAACACGGCTTCTCCCTCCCACTGCTTAGTCTCCGTTACACCAAGTTAGATAAGTTCTGCCTCTGCTGTGTGGACTCCACTTTCTGTCTGGATTCTTAGTCTGGGATCAGCCGCCAGCCAGTTAAGATTTTGTCTCTGGTGTGTGAGAGCTGGTCTGTCCATCCGTGCTGGGCTTTTGCGATGGAGGCTCTGACTGGGAGTGGAGAGTCCGTGCACTGTTGACCTTTGTTGGCTGGGTGGTGGTGCCCTTGGGCTGCTCCTGGTGGGGGGAGGTGACCAGCAGAGCACTTCTTGCATACGCACAGTGTCACTACCTCAAGAACAGGCAGGCACCTGTAAAGAATCAATCCACTTCAGGCTCAACATCTCCCATACCTAAGACTCGGAGACCACTGCAGAAGAGGGTGGAAAGATTGTAAGAGCCAGAGGATCGGGGAGTTCGCTGTGAGACTGTGCCTCCTAGGAATGTCAGACGCTCCACCCGTGAGCCCTCACCAGTGTGACTGTCAAACATGGATGAACACGTGTAACAGCACTAGACACGCCAAAGTCGACGGGAGAAGCCATGAGGCCTCAGCCGTACACAAGGCAACTAAGGCATGTTGAGAGTGGGAGACACAGCGTGTGTGTCAAAACAGACGAACAGAAAGGGCATTCAGTGGAAGGAACTGGATGTTTTAGCTGGGAGTGTATGGTGGTGAGGAGCACAGTGGCGACCCAGTGGAGGTGATAACAAAGCTTCCTTTCAGTAAGTGAGCAGGTTACTCATAAGGTCTGCTTGGTCCTTCCGACATTGACATCAGCTGGCCTGTTATTTCCAGCAGTGGCCCTGTTGGAGACCTGGGTTGCAAAACCCTATGAGGACACAGAACAGACAGGCGTTCAGTTGGTGGTAACTTGGGAAGTCCTTATGATGACTTAGGATTCTAATATAGTCACAGTTCTTTAAACAGACTGGGGTTGGAGAGATAGTTTAGTAGTTAAGAACACTGGCTTTTCTTCCAGGGGATCTAGGTGCAATTCCTAACATCTATATGGCAGCTCACACCATCTGTGACTCCAGTTCCCAGGGATCTGATGCCTTCTTCTGAACTTCTTGAGCACCAGACATCTATGTGGTACACAGATGCACATGCAGGTAGAACACCCATAAACAGAAAATAAAATAAAAACAGACATAAAGCTTGCCAAACAGTCTCCTCCACCACATCCAACATTAATACAATTATATGGCATCTGTAACTTAAAAACAGGACTCTGGTGAAGAGCTCTAAATAATTTTCCGTAGTAGCATGATTGAGAAACAATCGGCAGGGATTTATCTGGGGCAAACTGAACCTCCTAGAAGAAAACCCCCATCCTTATGACGCCAAAACCCTGTACC